AGCGGGAATTGTACTGCTAGATTTTACACAGAAATCTTAATGCTTTCACTTTGAGACCAAACATCTTGCCCACATGCAGTTACAAACTGTCTTGCTTGCAAAAAATAAGGTCTTGGAGCCAAAAGTGCCTTCACAGGCATCAAATTCTCTACTGAATTTGAACTGAATCTGGAACTGAATTGTATCTAAAATCCATATTCTGGAACTAGACATTTTTCTTTACCTCAAGGGTAGCAATACTCAAAAAGCATCCATAACAGTATCTTAACAGTTCCTCGGGACCACCACCACAAAGGGAGAGGCCTACCTAAAGAAGTTAAACTAACAGTTTCTGTTAAGTCACCAGTTATACCCAGCATTACTCTGCAAACATACCTGGCTCAGTCTCTGTTTTCGGTGTTACTTTTTCCTCTCTCGAAATGCTCATTTCTGTCATTTGCTGCGTTACAGGCAAAGCGGCAACAGGCACATTTCTGTTTAGGTACAGGGAAACAGGTAATTCACATTAGTTTTGAGTTCATAATAAAAGCTTAAATTGTCCAAACCCATCTATATCAATAGGCTACCTGTTCAATTATTCCTGATACATTTTCCTGATCTCTACTTCTGCTATAGCTAAAGTATTTTTCACTCTTATTTCAGCTTCCCTAGAAGAAAATATTCAATCTGTAGAGGGTATTTCTCCAGGAAAAACAAACATCCTTGTAAATGCAGCAGTTCCAACACCGAACATTGTAATCAGTTCTTTTTATAAAGATTCATAAAGCACCATTAGGTGCACTGTCCCTTTCTCCCCTCTGCAGGGACTCACTGTACTAGGTCAATATTACTGCAGGCCTTTCACTTGCTGCACTCTCAGCTCATTCCAATCTCGAAATAATACTTTAATCTTACCTTGACTTTTCAGATGTGCTGCCAGCAGCACCTTCACAGTTGTTTAAGCTAGTATCTGCTCTTTGTACAGATGTGGAGTCTGAGGTAGGACTGTTTGAACCACTGGCTGTTCCTATATAAAAGGAAATTGAGAAGTTAATTATAAACAAACTGTAGATAAGTTAATCAAATACTCTTGCATACAGTAATGAACTGATTCCCTTCATTCCACTGCATTCATTCCACTGACTCTTACTTATTACTTAAAGACTGACTATATTGTTAATGACCAAATATAGCAATTACATAAGAACACACTGATAACGGCGGATACTTAGAAACGCTCAACACCAAGTTGGCAAGAATTTACTACACAAAAACACGTTCCTATTCTTGCGGTGTTTTAAAGCAGTATTCTCTGATATTCATAATCTTAGTACACAGCTTTCAGAAGTTCTCCTGAAATACGTTTTTTCATTCCTTTCTTCATCATTATATTTTCAAAAAAAAAAAAAAAAAAAAAAAAAACCCAAACCCCCTCCCCCTTGGGCTAACATCCACACACCACTGTTCTGCTGTCGCTGAAGATGCTCTTTGTAGCAAACAGAACACATCCCATTTGTCCTAGGATTTCCATAAAATCCACATCCTGTACTACAGAGCATGGGCCCTGGGGTCTGATTTGTCTCCTGGGCCATCTCGATGCTGTAAATAAAACCAAGAACTGCATTAGGAGCTGGCATGTCACCAAAATCAATTATAGAGTTATAGAACTGAAGTATGTCTGCTCACTCTGCCCCCAGAAAGTCATATCAGCTTTTAAAAAAAGAGCTCTATTGATGTTAATATACCATTCAATACTGCAATTGTATTGATGAGTAACATCTTTATGAACCTAAGAGAGAAAAAAAAAAGTGTTATGGTACTAATATCAAAAAGTAATATACTTGTTCGACCCCGGGCTGCGTGTGCAGGTTACGACCAAGTTCAACTCAACAGCCAACAAAAGCTTTATTACCATCTCTGAGCATTCACAGCGCAGCAAAAGAACAAAGCCAGATATCTGTGCAGAAATAAGCAAGATCAAGTTTGTATCTACTAAACAATTCTGGCAATTAACATAGCTGATGTTTTTTTCCAGCTCCAACAGAATTTCACTTTTTCCAGTGATGCATCGTTTTGATGCTAATTCCATTAATTACTAGCAGTTCCTACTTTCAAAATACACTTGTTAAACAGAACAATAAAGATCACTGAAGTATGGGCAATAGTCAATTTTAATCTGTATTCCTATCTTTAGGAGCAGTTTCCAAAACAAGGCCTTCAACTCTGCTTAAATTGCATATGAAACCTGATACTGAATATTAACTGGCAACAACATGTGTACAACAGGCCTTCAGAGTCAAACAGCATTTCTGAAGTAAGTTCAGACATGATCTTACTCTTCCAAGAAGATACAAAACAAACAACTTCAGACTATTAAACACACTCACACAGCCTACGCATTTACGAAAAGCTAGTTGCATCCTTTGTCTTAAAAAAGTTAGAGCAAGTCTCCCAAAGGCAGACAATGCTAACCCTCCCTCTCATCAACTGCAAAACACAGGAATAAAAATACTTCACCTTCACTGGAGGTTAACCTCTGCAAAACAAGGTTAGTAGAAAAACTGATATAGTAACCAAATCCTTGGTTCCCAAGGGCAATAAAACTGGAACACAGTAATCAAGTGACGTACTACAAATTGAGGACATGTAAGAATATTGCACTTGTCCTCCCAAAGCTTAGATTTAGTAGAAGCACTGTACAAGTCTCTTGAAGACCTTTCGGTGAAATCTCTAGACTACTGTCTTTCTCTTTAGGAGCAGCCATAACGAAGGATATTTGACTACTGATGCTCATGAGAACTCAAATATACCAAAAATAAATTAGTTCCAGTGTATGAAGGAACACTTTTCGTAAGTGAAAAATACCACACTGCAAAGTTGTGAATACATCTCAACAGTATGACAGCTGCAATTGGTAAAAACAAAATCTCAAGGGTCAAAGTAAATCAGTAGCGGGAGAAAACAAACAAGCAAAATTAATCTCCTCCCTACCGATGGCTATGGGACTCCAGCACCTTTGTTTCAGGACAAAAGGCAAACTCACTTATTCTGATAGACCTCTCAACAAACTGCAGCTTAACAGCCATACACTGGTCAAGGCAGTCAGCAGAAACAATAACCTAACTATTTAAATCTAAAATCCGAAACATCTTCTCACCCATATTACAGCTTTATGTTTCTATAATAGAAATAAAGATTATACTTCTGCCATGTTATTAAGCAGATAGCACTCAAAGTGCTATCAAATACACCGCCACCATCAATCTCAATCGATTTGCTCCACTTTCAAATTACTATGCTGTAAACATGTATCTCCACTTACTAAATCTAGCTTTAGGTGTTAATGCTGGTATTAGCATACTACAAACAAGAGTCTTCAGGGCTCCTTTGTCAGCACATTCTTTCACTACTTGAAATACCTGCCCCTAATTGAAAGGTCAAGTTGTTGTTACCCAATGCCTACAAAATTGTGCTTTATCACGCTCCTGAAGAAGGTCCAAGTATCACCTCTGTCTCTTCTAAAACCCTTTATCACCAACTGGAAAACAGTTATACACTTTCCCGTACTGAATCTCATAACCAGGACACTAAATCAAGCTGTTTAATCTTTTGAACAAAGAATAGTGAAAGTGAGGTTTTCATAAAAGGGCCATTACTGACTTCTCCAGTTCTTTAATGTAGGAACTTTTCTGCTGAGATCATCAGCAACTAGCTAAAACCTACTTACTAACGCAGTTCTATTTCCCTGGAAAACTAGCTTCTAATATCATCACATGTGTGTCTGCTTCCCTTAACATTTCTCAGAATCTTGGGTCACATGGGTGAGTGCATTAGCTTCCGCCTGTCACAAGGCTGCAATGTGACAGGCTGAGCTAGAGGCTCAGACACAAAACCTCGTCAACAGGGGCCTCTGAAATCAGCTTCTATTTATATCCCCGAAGGCTGCCAACTCCTACACAACCCACAGAACTGAGGCAGCCGAGCATACACCCACTGTTAGAGGAAAATATAAAATCCGATTAACACGGCTACAGCTTCCTTTCTAGAGGGAGACGGAGCGCAGATACTTAAATTCAATCAAGAAAACGCAGCATCATGAGCTAGTCGTCTCAAACAGCCATTTTCATCTCTAACTCACAGCAAGAACAGAAAACAACTGGGTGTGCTCAGAGGCCTAAGAGATGATTACCGTTTCACAGGCTTGCAAATATACCCCCAACCTTTTTGGGTGGGTAGTTACAACCAAACTATTTGCCTTTCCAAAGCATAAAGATTTCTTCTACGTCCAAAAGCAGCAAGTCAATCTCAGGGATATTCCTATTTAACCCTATGACCTTACCAACATAATAACAAGAAGCTATTTTATTCATTAACTCCAACAGTGATTTATGCCACTTAACTTCATAGTTACTGGTAAACTTACCCAGAGAAGCTAAAGAGGGGATATAAATACTTAACTATTATTATCTTTGAGTTATCTAAGTCTCATAACTAAGGTAGCTTTTTCTGTTCCACATTACAACTAAGCTAAGGGATAGCAAATTTTAACAATACCAGATATCGAGACTATTTCATTGATCAACAAAAACATGCTCCTTTTTGGGCCCCCAAGTACGCTTCCAATAAACTACTGCTGGAAACGAACGCTTATGCCTGTTAAATCGGGATTTTAATATAACGCATGGAATAAAAATCCGAAGTACACTTAAATCGATAATAAAACCTGGGAACTGCGTCAACGGTAGGACTGAATTGGCTAGCTGACCTAAATACTTATTTATCTCAACATCCTCCTCTAGAAAAAGAGAGCGAAAAAAAAGAAGAAGAAGAAGAAGAAGAGAGAGAGATTCAGCAAGGATGTTTCAGGCATAAGCCTCTGTAACACAGTGTCCTAGGCGAAGCGGTAAGGCGAAACAAAAATGGAGAACACGGATGAAAACCGGGCATTTCCCAATGACGATTAAGTCCACCTCAGTGAGTCAGACAAAAGGGAAGGCACTGCCAAGCGCTCCAAGCGTGATACGTTTTAATTGCCTCCCTATTTATTTATTTATTTTTCCGCCGGGGACCCGGGGGCTGCCGGCCTCAGGAGCACAACGGGCAGGCGGCGGGC